TTTAGAAATTCTATCTTAATATTTATATGATCAATAAATCTCATCAAAAATAATAATTTCAACAATTCAATTTTTTTGTAACACCAACGTAGAAACATCCTCTCGGGCCATTCTAAATTTTCATAGATATTCTTTGGTGTCATACATATTCGTTCGGAGCATCAAAATTAGCACTGGATTCGAAGCATTCATGATCAATGATGCTATTTTTAATAAAATAGACTATTTTGTGGCCAAGTGGTGCATTGATCGAGTAGTCTAGTAAATTACTACAAAAACATATAAATAGACCCGCTACCCCACTTGTGGACCAAAAAATCGCAAAAAAAAAGTGCCTCGGTTTTACTTTTTACGTTGCATACTCTAATAAAATAGACTGTTTCATGGCCAAATGATGCATTGATCGAGAGTCTAATAAATTACTACAAAAATATATAAATAGATCCGCTACCCCACTTGTGGGCCAAAAAATCGCAAAAAAAAACGTGTATCGGCTTTGCTTTTTACGTTGCATTCGAATTCGAGGGTTGAGGCACATAGTGCCGAAATGGCATTCTATGATTTGGCTTTACACGTTACATTCAAATGCAAGGGTCAAGGCATACTCTACATTATTATTCATTTGTTGAGCAATAATTTTTTTATTTGTTTTTTATTTATTTATTTTAATGATTAAAGAGACATGAATAATAAAAAAATTACATATTAATATATATATTAGTACTGTATTAATATAAAACCAAACCGCAGGTTAAAAACATTCGTGTGGAATTATTTTTTTTTTTTTTGAATTATTAGTAATAGCAATTTTAGCTGCTTGTGTTGATTAAATCTGAATACCCATTGATTTGTTGGAGAGAAGGAATACTATATATCAGCTCTTATGTCATTATTTTCAACATATCTCCTGGAAAAAATTTATTACATTTTTCTATATAACATCTATTACGTTTAAAATCAAGTCTTTACCATCATCACCTTTTTCAAAAATTTTTTTTATTTTAGTTGGAATCTTACTACAGGTGCCGTTAAATACTGTGTTAAAGGGTTTTCGCTTGACAACCCCAAGGTGATTACTTTTTTTATTGTGGGCTAAAAAAGTTCTTAAAAAAAACCTTCCTATATATTATTATCAGCTTAAAAAAAAACTGTTATATTAATATTTATATTTTATTTTGCATATTTCCTTTGGATATTTTTATTATAATATTTCGTCAAGTATATTTTATATTATTTATATTAAATTTTTTAAAAAAAATGATTTATCTTAATCAATCGCTAAAAGCGATTGATTCGGTTTCGGATTTTAATAAATTCAAACGTACCATTTCTTTCGAATAATAAGGTTATTTTTTATTATCTGTTTTATTTATTATTTATTTGAATACAGTCAACCCCTCTAAGTGCACCCTCTCTAAATGCACGCCATGTCTCATTCCCAAACTTATAGTGAGCTTATAAAATTACTCCCTCTAAATGCACACCCTCTCTAAATGCACGTTCATGAGAAATAGTGATATGTTCCCAAGGAGGGTGCACTTAGAGAGTGTTGACTGTAAAACACAAATGAAACTAATGATAATAATAAAACAAATACATAAAACGAATAAAACGAATAAAACGAGTAAAACGAATACTGTAATAATAGTAATAATAAATGAAACAAATGATGATTTCTGCTTTTTATTGAAAGAGTCATTTGATATAGAAGAGGAAAAGAAAAGCTGTAAAAAAGATGAATGGTGCACTTAAAAATCTAAAATCGTGTAAAACAACTATAATGTTTACCTGAGTTTCATTCCGATCAAAATTACACGACACAAAAATCCCTTTATATGATCTAGGTATCAGAGTATTAATTTTGACTTGCTAATCACCCTGAAAATCTATTAAATTGAGGCATACTTTATTATAGCAGTCATGATGAATAACAAGATTAATAAATCTAGTTGAAGCAAGAAAGCTTCTACTAACAAAACACTTATTGAACTTTGGGTTGTTTTTACAAGATATAATAGCAATTCAGAAAAAACTCGGCATTAATGGCAATGCCAATCGAGCAATGGCACGTAGATTTACTAATTCATATTTTTATTATACTTATATATTATAATAATAAATTTATAAAATACATAAATCTACACTATTCAGATCACATATATCGTTGATTTACATGTGTAGAATGACCGAGGGTTATAAAAATAATGTAGAATTTTATAATAATCTTTGAGCAATTGCAATCTGTTCACCCACTCTATAATGTACTTGTTCGTTAGCAAGAATATTAACATTGCTTTGGCTTTGGAATACGAGGACAATGTCAGATCCACCAAACTGAAAATAAGCTATCTCCTTCCCTTTCGTCACTAGATCATCTGGCCCAACGGAGAGGACCACAGAAGACACTTGTGCCATACCGACTGGTAAAACAGCCACTTTTCCAATATGTTCATTTTCGATTACAATCAGACCGCGAGCCTGGGAAAATTGATACCCCGGAGAGTCCGGAGCAGAGAGTTCTTCGGCATCGCCGGCTTTCATTTTTCGTCTAGGTACGAGTATCAGTTTGTCGGGATTGTTAGGATCTTTTTTAACAGTAACATCGAGATAGGTCTGGCCTGGAATAACTTTGGCTTCGAGTACTTTGCCATCGACAGGAGCATGCAAACGATGATAGTCGTATGGTGCGAGAAATGCGTGCATAAATTTCCCTCCAGCAAAGTCACTTGCGTACTGACTGTTATTAAGTAACTCCTTAATGCTCCAGGGAAGGCCTTTTAAAGTGACAATTGACTTAGCATTGATGTTCCAAGAGCCATCGAAGGTCGAGTCTGCAGGACTCACGATAACTGCTGGATTGGAAGGGCCATCGATGGGTCGGGTTCCTGGCAAGAATCTTCGAGCGAATAAATCATTAAAAGTATATCCTACCCAGCCTCCTTCGGGAACCTCGTAGGCGTCCAAGTTATAGTTCTGCGCAGTATAAAATGTCTGCAGAGATTCCGTGGTAAGCGATTGAGGCGTACCGAGAAACTCTCCCATAGAGTTGGCGAAATCGACCATCCATTCAGTTAGCAACGTGTACTGTGGTGATGGGTACGAGGGCACAATGGGTGACTGAAGCGGTTTGACAGTTTTCTGATCAAGGACAAAGTACATTGTGCAAAGCATACGGTAAATGAAAGTTCCTGTTTCATCCTCTGTAGGTACCCACTTTACCAAATAATTAAGAAAATTGTAATATTCAGCCAAAGTACGTATATGGGCCATTTCTTCAATGCCTGTCTTGTGAGCGTCAGAGATCGCCTTATCAAAATTGTCCTCCCAGTTATTTTGTTGAACCATATCCATCAGCTTTTTAACAATTGGATGATAGTTATCGTTCTCGGGACCAAAGAAAGGACCGATAGGTTTTTTGAAGTCACTGAGAAATTCCATGAGAAAGAGAAGAAACTAATTTCATCAAATTTAAGTTTAGAATAATGAAAAAGTTATGTAACATGCGTTTACAAAGTAAATACAAAAAAAATGCTTCAATGATTTTAGATATTGTTGAAAGGAAGCTAAAAAATATGTTTTAATATAGTTGATAATTTTATTTGGCATGCGGCTAAATGATTTACATGCCGCTTTCTTTTTATGATAGATGGCGTTTTTTAATTGGCGTAAGGGCATGTTTCAAATCTTTTTTTATCTTTACTTTTAAGGAAAGCGGTACCTTTAAAACGAACTAATTATTTTAAAAATAGACTAGGTGTAACCCGTCAGCTTCGCTGACGGTTTACATCTAGAGCACACTATAAATAATCTTGTAAATTTTTTTTTTATTCAAAATTATTTAGTACTGTAAATTCATAGCATCAATAAGTTTGGTTGCATTTGTTATAAATATGTATAGATTTAAAAAAATAACAGTTTTGATTGACATAATTTTGTTAAAATTTGATTTCATGACTACAAAATATCATCAAAAACTAATGAAAAATATAATATTTTATTGTGGAGTTTTATTTATTTATTTACGTGCTTGTGGTAGTCTAAACGTAACCCAACGATATATACAATAATAGATAGATTGCATGCGGTGGTCTAAAACGCCACGCATCACAACATATTTATTTGCGTGCTTGTGGTA